AGGAGGAGGAGGAGGAGAAGAAGAAGGAGAAGGAGAAGAAGAAGAAGAAGTGAAGAGTTTTATGTGAGGGGATGCCAGTATCCAATTTGTGTTTTGGGAGAACCACTTCAAGGGCAAGATGGAGTACTTGCCCTGTGAGATGGGCTCAGTCCTCTTCACAGAATTAATAATGGCTACAATGCCCAGCACAAGTGGAAGGGGACAAAGGATGCACACTGGAGGCTGGGAGGCTGGCTAGATAGTAGCCTGGCCTGGGATTAGGTATAGAGTAGAGGCATGTGGTGATATTTAAGAGCTACAAGAGACACAAAGGATATTGGGCTAAGAAGAAGAAGAAGAAGAAGAAGAAGAGTTTTATGTGGAACCACCTCAAGGGCAAGATGGAGTACTTGCCCTGTGAGATGGGCTCAGTCCTCTTCACAGAATTAATAATGGCCAGCACAAGTGGAAGGGGACAAAGGATGCACACTGGAGGCTAGTCATTTTCCTAGTCCAAATGAGGGGTGACAGTAGCCTGGCCTGGGATTAGGTATAGAGTAGAGGCATGTGGTGATATTTAAGAGCTACAAGAGACACAAAGGATATTGGGCTTGATAGCAAGGGAGAGAACAGAAAGAGTTCAGAATAGCACCAAACTTTCTGGCACACAGGATGGCTGGTGGTGCCATTCCCAGGTGAGAAACTCAGGAAGGAGATGGATTGACTGAGTGTACAGTCAAGAACTGTGTCTTGGACATGTTAAGTTTGAGGTGTCTTTGGAACCTCCAGAAGGAAATATCAAGCAAACAGTTGGCTCTGAAAGGCCAGAGTTCAAAGGAGAAGCCAGGGCTGTATGGAGACCTGGAAGTTGTCAGTGTGTAAATGGAACTAGATGGTGTAAGTGGGGAAAGTGCAGCATGAGAGAAGGAGAGGAGAGGATAGAACCTGGAGGTTCCCAGATGGACTCCTTTAACCATCAATGGCCCGTAGAAAAGGATGCACCTGCTCAGAGACAGAAAAACTGACCCAAAACATAAGGGAAAAAAATAGACTTTATGAAGCAGCCAAGGGAAAAGTATTTCAAGAAAAAGAGAGAACTCTAAGTGTTGAACACACCTGAGACGTTAAGTGGGAAATTGGTTTTGGAGATGTGGAGGTCATCTATACTACAGAGATATAACACTGACATCACAGGGAGCGTTCAAGGTGACCACTGGTGCACCGGGCATGATACAGGTGCCTGGCAAATGTTAGTAATGCTTCTTCATAGCCCTTCTGCTTTCAGACACATCCCATGAGCCTCCTGCCTCTGCCCTCACTCATCAAAAATGAATGCACTGACTTCTGATCATTCTCCCTCTCCTATAAACATGGGCAAATCAAATGTGATTTGTGAGCTGGCACCAGCTCCTGGGATGCCACAGAGAGAAGTGAGCACCTGCTCCACATTACTAGCCTGTTCCATCCCAAATCAAAGAGGTGTCCCCAGCAGGTAGGAGCCTGCATGTTTGCAATTTTGGTTTAACCTATGAGCCACAGAGTGACTCGTTGGGTGACTGGGGTGTTTTTAAAGACAAGAAGAAAATAATGTGTTTCTGAGCATCAGCAGCCTGCCATTTTGTTCCTTTGGCTCACACAACGAGAGAATTAAATGCAAAACTACAGATGGGAGCTGGGCCAGTGCCCTTCACAGATGCTGAGCCTGTGCAGCTGAGAGTGGTGTTTTAAAAAGCATGAGGATCTCAGTTATCCTGAGTTTGGGGAAAATAGGATTCTCTTGATTCATCAGGCATTAGCCTTAAAACTATATTTTCTTAAAATTTTCCTAGAATGTTCTAGCCTCCTTTCCTGCTTTAGGAATTAAACTAGTGAGTATAATTTAACATTTTCAATTGAGAATTTTTCAGGGTGCTCTACAGAGGATTTAAAAGGTGTAGAAAATTAGTTTGAATAGTGATACCCAGACATGACCTGGAAACACTTTGAAACCCTCTATCAGCTTGTTTCCTTGTGCTTTGCCTTTTCTTTTTCAAAGTAAAGTGCCAAAGAAGGCATCTGGTTAAGAATTCTGGCTTTGGAAGGTCCTAGCTGAGCCTTGCTGTAACTGCAACTGCTTCTCATTTTTTCCTTGGAATCCCCTGGTAGGTACACAGCAAGCATATATTGAATGAATGGCTGAATTCCTCTGGAGATGCAGGCTGTTTACCATCACAGTATCCCTGAGTGGCATTTATCTGGTAGTTTCACATTCTACAGTTTTGCTAAACATTAGTCCAGGAATGAACTGCCATTCTCTTTGGATGAATTGTGAACATGTTAATCCCTTTGCTGGTCCCTGATCTGAAAGACTCAGAGTACTATCCTTTCCCTGCTGGTATAGGAAAGAGAGTGGAGCTGGGGCTAGGGCCTCTGGCACTTGATCTGCTCCCTCAAACCCTGACACATAATATTCAAGACCACCACCTCACAAGAGCACAAGGCAGGGAAATGTAAAAGCACACAGAGAAAAGGTAAAGCGGAAAGAAGGCTTGGCTTCTCCCTTTGCACAGGGATTGTTGTGTGGATGGGATATCTCAAAGGTAGTACAGGTCACTGATGTACCGAGAGACACAGGAAGAAGGGAACTAAACAATCAGACCCTCCAGAATTTCAAGGAAATGGTGATCTTGGCAGGAACCTTGGCAAATACCTTGTCCAACCCTGTCTGAGATTCAGCTCACAAGCTGGCTGGTGGCAGAAGAGAGTCTGGCTTTTCCCAAGCTGGAGCTTCATGAGACAGACTCATTGTACTCCCTGTGAAGTTGTTTAGGACTTTACCTTCTCTCTGCAGCCTCAGTGGACTGGACAACTCTGGAAATCCAATTAAGAGTGGCATGGGCTGGAGACTGCTGCAGAGTAGGGATGCTGGATTTTGCCTGAATGTGTTTTGAAATGGTGTCTTCTCTCTAGATTCCTGGGACTTCAAGCAGTCCACACGTAACATCTCTCCCACCATCAATCAGGCCAACATCGTGGACTTGCACCCAGCATCTGTGTACAGCATCCGCATGTACTCCTTCAACAAGATTGGCCGCAGCGAGCCAAGCAAGGAGCTCACCATCAGCACAGAGGAGGCTGGTGAGCCCTTGGCCCTGCAACTGCTGCCCATGGTCTTGGAGATCAAGGACACTGAGGAATCCATACCAGCCCTGTCTACTGGCAACTGGCTTGTGGTTGAAAGAGAGGATGAGATTGATCCCAATGGTTGTTTGTTTGTTTGTTTGTATCTGCCTGGGAATCACTGGAGGCTGATTTTGCTTATTTGTTTCCTGACCCTGCTGTAAGTAGGACTCTAGACCCTGGGCCCTTTGGAGCTGTCCGTGGTTCTGCTCTACTTCCTTGGTCCAGTCTCTTTGGAAAATACAGATACAGTGATACCTCAGTTCATGAACTTAATTCTTTCCATGTTCCTGGAACCACATCAACTTCAATAGCTAGATTCAGTGTTGGCTTTATGGGGAAATTTGATTCAGTTCTTGTCCAATTTGACTTACAGCCAGAATCGTGGAAAGAATTAAGTTCATGAACCAAGGTATCACTGCTGGATCTGCAGTATATGCAGTCCTAGTTCCTTGGATGATTTTCTAGGTCTTTGACACAGAGTTTTAGAAAAATTTAAACAAGATTTCCCTTGCTGCTGGCTGTGGTGGCACACACCTGTAATCCCAGCACTCAGGAGGCTGAGGCAGGAAGATTGCCATGAGTTTGAGGCCCACCTGGTCTACATGATGAGTTTTGAGGACAGCCTGAGCTACACAGCTAATGAGACTCTGTCTCAAAAAAAAAAACAAAAAATAAAAATAAAAAGATCTCTCTTGCTGTATTTTATTGTTATTGTCAAATAAGAAAATCCCAAAAATATATGCACAATTTTACAAATAATTGTAAAGTAAAAAACGGCATAACAAATGCTAATAATCAATTACCAGCATGAAGAACCAAAATCAAGATTCTCTGCTATCCCTAAATGAGCTTCTCCTTCCTCTCCAGCTGTACTCCAGCTCAAGACAATGGGAGTGAGGATATAAGATTCTGTCTGCTGCAAGATCTGACTCATCTGTTGCTTTTTCTGTACTCCAGCTCCTGACGGGCCTCCCATGGATGTCACCTTGCAGCCAGTGACCTCACAGAGCATCCAAGTGACTTGGAAGGTAACTGAGTTTTGTCTTATCTCCTCCTCCTCAATCCAGGTATGAAGCTCCAACAGGTTTGCTAATCTCTGGTTTCATACAATGCCCATGCCCTGTGCCTTCCAGTCTCCAAGTGCTTCCTTTTATGCAAACTCATAGTGGAGGGAAAGGGCAGTCAAAATCAGATCTCCTCACCAATCCCTGCTCCTCTCCCATTGTGTCTTTTGTGGGGTTGCGCCTTAAATGGGATGAAGACTGTATGTGTGCTAAGAGGAGGACAGTTCTCCAGCTACACTGGCCCATCCTCAAGCTCCACCACCACCATATGTTGTGGGAGGGCAGGAGCTAGATTTGGTTTTGTGTAAAGTTGCCCCATACACCATCAAGATGAAAATTACTGCTCTCCCGTGATGGAAGGGGAGACCAGTATTGCTGCAGCCACTTGGTTTGATCTGTGAGATCCAGGGAATGAATTTGTTACCTAAGAGGAGACCCCATAGCTGGGCAGGGTAACGAGTAGAACTGAAAAATGGTTTCCTGGGGGCTCTGGCCCTTGGGCATATCCCACCATGCACACTTACAGGCTGACAATCCATCACTTCCTATTGCTCTATACCTTCTGGTCTCCAAGTGCTTGCTCTTGTGCAAACTTGTCTGGCCTTCTCTCTGTTCCTCGGTTGAGAGGATGCACAGAGAAGGCATTTCCATCCTATCTGTCAGAGGAGGCTATGGATGCAGAAATGCAAGGTGACTCCTCCATGGTTGGTCAGGTAGTGTCAGGTGTAGGATGTGAAGGTCTGTAGTCTGGAGCGCTGGCCTCATCACCTCACAGCAGCCCACTGCACAGAGCTGTAGAAAAGTCTGTCTTCTTAGGGCTGTTCTTTGTTCTCCTTGGAATGTCCCTGTTCCTCAATCATGAGCCTTGAGGGTGGCATCATCTTCATGAAAGATCAATCCTTCAAGAGTATATATGACTCTGACTCCTGTCAGGAAAAGGCAGGTGTATTAGTTCCTCTTATGGGCTCTTTGGAAAGGTGGATTTGAACATGGAAGAGAGTCAGAGTCCTAGCAACATTTTCCTTAGTAAGACACATACACAGAAGCAGCTGCCTGGTTCCTCCCCTCCCTAGAGAAAGGTGAGGCAGGGACTGGGTCCTTGATCCTTCGCAGAGCCCCCTAGGAAATCCCTGGAACCATGATTCCTCTGCAGAATCAGATCTGGGTTCCAAGGCTTTCCTCAGAAACTGGAGATAAAGCCAGAGACCAAATCTCCAGTCTTGTGTATGTCCTGGCCCCAGAACTAATTCCTAGGAATAGGCTGAGGGAGCTGGGAGATGGGGGTGGGAAACGAATACCTATGTAAAGCATTGAGATGTTTGGCTACAATATCTGACCCAGAGGTCGATAAAAATTTAGAATCAGATTTATTTCTCCAAAGTCTCATAATGAAAAATAAAATTGATTAGAAAGTTAGAACTTCAGAATGAACCAGCTGCTCAATAAATTTTGGGGCTGACTTCTCGGGGGATTTTTTTTTAACACTGAGAAACAGATTAATGAAAAATAAAGATTCACTTGAAAGATAAGTCACTTCGTTTTAAGACTCTTTCCACAAGATGGATCACCCCTGCTTTATGACATAAATTTGCAATCAGCCCTATTGATTTCTTAATGCTTTAGAGAAATATTGTTAAGATTGATTTAAATCGTGAATGTATGTGTTAGGAGGAGGAAGATGGGGGGAAGAGAGAGAGAGAGGAGAGAATAAAGAGGAGGGAGGGAGGAGGGATCTGTAAAAATTTGTATGCGTTCTGGATATACATGTGTGTGTACAGGGGTACATATGCCATGTTGATGTGGTCATGTATACAGGTGTGGTCATGCATACAGGTATATGTCATGGCACAAAAGGCCTGGATATTGGGCATGCACATCATTGTGTAATGGTGTTTATAGTACCATACTGTGTGCATGTGGGTGCATGCAATATGAGAGTATGTGTTAGAGTGCAGACGAGATTGTCAGGCTTTTGAAAATGCGTTTGTGTCTCTGACAAATGTGTGTGTGCGTGTGTGCCCATGTAAGACTGCATGTGCAGATGTAAGACTCAAATGCAGGCATTTTCCCCTCACAGACTAGCACACAGGACTGCCCAAGTGCAGAGAGAAACATCATTTAGGCAATAACAAAAAGTCAAGTCAATTAAAAGCACACACCTATTTAGTGAGTTCAAAACAATTATGTTAAATTAAAAACTTCATCTTATTGAGTTAACAGTGAGTTTAAAATGCAGTTCATTTAAACATTCATTGAATTTAAAAAAAGCAATGGAACTGTTTTACTAACTTAATTGTTCTTGATCTCACTGTTTTTTAGTACAATAAAAGGTGGACTTTTAAATTAATTTCATTGTCTTTAAAACCCTGATGCAAGCTGTTTTTATATGCACTGGAGTGGCTGTTCTGCCTCAATTTATAGACGGGCAGCCCAGTCACTAAAGGAGGCAGTTTCTACTTGGAAGTTTAAATGTGTCTATCTGTGGGCCAGTGTGTGAACCTAAGTAAACACATTGGCATTTGTGTGTGTGCCTGTGTGTGTGCATGTGTATGTGTGTGTGTGTTGGTGAATGCTTATGTGTTGATGTTTTCTTTTGCAGTGTTTCTGTGTGTGGGGTTGTGGTTGGCTGTTTTTGTATCAGGGTTCAAGGCTGGGTGAGAATGTTTTCCCAGCCCGACCGCCGTTGGTGGAATTTTCTCTGTTCGCCCGGCCTTGGGGGTGGTTATCAGTCCTCCACTCCCCCAGGTTCCTCTGACCTCCACATCTGTGTCCTCTCTGCCCCATCATCAGGGCCTGGCTGCAGGCCTCAGCCTCAGAACACCCAGGTGGCCACTGTGCCTTGAGCCACACAGCTCTAGCCTTCTAGTGGGGCCTGCACCCAGTGAAGATCAGCGCTCTCTTCTAGGGAGTGTTTTTTGTTTGTTTTTGTATGTTTGTTTCTAGTCGGAGTAAAATACATATAAGATTTACGACTTTAAATACATTTAAGAGTATAGATCAGGGCCAGGGATTTAGCTCAGTGGTTCTGCCACCTGCCTCACAGACACAAGGACCAGAGTTCGATCCCCAGTACCAAAAAGAAAAAAGTTAAGAGTATGGATCATTGACCACTAGGTGTTGCCAGAACTTGTTCATCATCCCCAGGCTGAAGCCCTGTACCTGTTTAACAGGAATTCCCTTGTCCCCTCCTCCCACCCGCTGGAAATCTGTTTTCTGTCTCTGTGAATATGCCAGTTCTGAATACCTCTGTAAGTGGGACCATATGGCATTTGTCCTTTTGTGACTAGTCTGTGTCACTTAGCATGATGACTTTAATATCCATCTATATTGTATCGTGTGTCCAAAGTCCTTCCTTTAATGATATTGCATTGTATGTGTACATCACGTAAGTTTGTCCGTTTGTCTTCCTGTGGAGACTTAGGTGGCTTCTGCTCTTTGGCTATTGTGAATAATGCTGCTTGAACATGAGTGTACAGGGATGGGCACCCTGCTTTGAATTTTCTGCGGTTTATACCCAGAAGTAGGACTCCATGATCATATGGTAAACTCCATGTCTAACCTCCTGAAGGACCACCAAACGGACTTCCACACTGGCTGCACCATTTGACATTTACACCAGCAATGTACAAGCATTTTAACCTCTCCATATCCTCTCCAGTGCTTGCATTGTTTCTTGGTTGATTATTTGGTTGGTTTCTATAATGACCATCCTAGTGGGTGTGAAGTGGGATCTCAGGACACATTGCTCACTTTCCTCTCCATCAGATCGCTTTTGCCTTTGGTTTCTGACTCTCCCACACCCCTGAGCCATGCCACATACTATTCCTATTCATTCATTCATTTATTCGTTTTCATTCATTCTTTCATTCAATAAATATGTGTTAGTCCCAGTAAATATGTGTGAGATCCAACATTAAGCAAAACAGACAATACTCTTTGTCCTCATGGCACTTACACCCTGGTAGGGCAGACAAACACCTAAGTAAAATCTATAGCACGTCAGATTAATTCATGTAGGAAAATAAAGCGGGAAGAGAATCAGAGTGCTGTAGGAGCAGTAAGGAGCTCATGTCACCATGAAGAAGAAACATTTTAGAGGGCAGGGGGCCACCATAGGTTTTCAAGTGAGGAGCATCTCCCACAATGGGGGTGAGCCTGGTGTGAGCAGCAAAGATCAGTCTGCTGCAGCACAGAAGGCAAGAGAGAGACAGAGAAAACAGTCTGAGAAGTAGTGGGTGTCAGGAACAACATGACCTGACTTTGGTTTTTACAGCATTCTTTCAGAATGTCACTGTGTGTCTTTGTCCCTGGCCCTCCCCTGTAATCACAGGCACCGAAGAAAGAGCTGCAGAACGGTGTCATCCGGGGCTACCAGATCGGCTACAGAGAGAACAGCCCTGGAAGCAATGGACAGTACAGCATCGTGGAGATGAAGGCCACTGGTGACAGCGAGGTCTACACCCTGGACAACCTCAAGAAATTCGCCCAGTATGGGGTGGTGGTCCAGGCCTTCAATCGGGCTGGGACAGGGCCCTCCTCCAGCGAGATCAATGCCACCACCCTGGAGGACGGTGAGGGCCACCTTAGGGTGAGAGCGGGGGTGGTCACAAACACTGTTTCGGACACAGACAGGGCTCCCAGTGAGGGCATGTGTGTCCTTCCACTTGTTCCTGGGCACAACTTGGTCTTGTGAATGACACCAACTCCCTGGATCCTCTCATCTTTTCTTGCTCATGGCTCCTTGAAGGGGGCCTGGTCTATTCAGCCTTCCAGGCCTCCCAGCCTGTTTGAGTGGCTCCTTCTTCGCTTGCTGATTCTCTGCCCCTTAGTCTACCTGTGTACCTGCCGGGCCGTCCGAGCTCTTGTCCATATTCCTGTCTCTCCCTCTGTGCATCTCCCTTCTTCTATTACCCACTATTCCTTCTCTCTGACAAAGCTCCTCCCTCCACATCCTGGGTCCTGTTTCTCCTCCTTTACAGCTTCTTGGGGAAAGCGCAAAAGTCCATGAACCTTGTACTTCTAGGCTAGAATCTGTCATCTGTTTGAGGGGCCAGAGATGAGACTATAGAGTTAAATCCCATCACCCATGTGGCAGAGGATTTAGAGCCCAATTTTAAAAACTTAATTTCTGATGACTGGAGAGAACTCCACACTCTGATTAGTAAATTAAGGGGCTCCGTTTCTCCAGAGGGAGAAGATCAGGAGGAAACAGAAATATTCCTGCTAAGCACAGAGTAACTATTCAGCTGTTACCTGAGCCTGCACCAGGTCAAAATAGGAGATGTGTCCTTGATGCTCCCAGAGATGGGACCAAGCTTGAGTTCTGCCACCTGCCTCACAGACACAAGGACCAGAGTTCGATCCCCAGTACCAAAAAGAAAAAAGTTAAGAGTATGGATCATTGACCACTAGGTGTTGCCAGAACTTGTTCATCATCCCCAGGCTGAAGCCCTGTACCTGTTTAACAGGAATTCCCTTATCCCCTCCTCCCACCCGCTGGAAATCTGTTTTCTGTCTCTGTGAATATGCCAGTTCTGAATACCTCTGTAAGTGGGACCATATGGCATTTGTCCTTTTGTGACTAGTCTGTGTCACTTAGCATGATGACTTTAATATCCATCTATATTGTATCGTGTGTCCAAAGTCCTTCCTTTAATGATATTGCATTGTATGTGTACATCACGTAAGTTTGTCCGTTTGTCTTCCTGTGGAGACTTAGGTGGCTTCTGCTCTTTGGCTATTGTGAATAATGCTGCTTGAACATGAGTGTACAGGGATGGGCACCCTGCTTTGAATTTTCTGCGGTTTATACCCAGAAGTAGGACTCCATGATCATATGGTAAACTCCATGTCTAACCTCCTGAAGGACCACCAAACGGACTTCCACACTGGCTGCACCATTTGACATTTACACCAGCAATGTACAAGCATTTTAACCTCTCCATATCCTCTCCAGTGCTTGCATTGTTTCTTGGTTGATTATTTGGTTGGTTTCTATAATGACCATCCTAGTGGGTGTGAAGTGGGATCTCAGGACACATTGCTCACTTTCCTCTCCATCAGATCGCTTTTGCCTTTGGTTTCTGACTCTCCCACACCCCTGAGCCATGCCACATACTATTCCTATTCATTCATTCATTTATTCGTTTTCATTCATTCTTTCATTCAATAAATATGTGTTAGTCCCAGTAAATATGTGTGAGATCCAACATTAAGCAAAACAGACAATACTCTTTGTCCTCATGGCACTTACACCCTGGTAGGGCAGACAAACACCTAAGTAAAATCTATAGCACGTCAGATTAATTCATGTAGGAAAATAAAGCGGGAAGAGAATCAGAGTGCTGTAGGAGCAGTAAGGAGCTCATGTCACCATGAAGAAGAAACATTTTAGAGGGCAGGGGGCCACCATAGGTTTTCAAGTGAGGAGCATCTCCCACAATGGGGGTGAGCCTGGTGTGAGCAGCAAAGATCAGTCTGCTGCAGCACAGAAGGCAAGAGAGAGACAGAGAAAACAGTCTGAGAAGTAGTGGGTGTCAGGGACAACATGACCTGACTTTGGTTTTTACAGCATTCTTTCAGAATGTCACTGTGTGTCTTTGTCCCTGGCCCTCCCCTATAATCACAGGCACCGAAGAAAGAGCTGCAGAACGGTGTCATCCGGGGCTACCAGATCGGCTACAGAGAGAACAGCCCTGGAAGCAATGGACAGTACAGCATCGTGGAGATGAAGGCCACTGGTGACAGCGAGGTCTACACCCTGGACAACCTCAAGAAATTCGCCCAGTATGGGGTGGTGGTCCAGGCCTTCAATCGGGCTGGGACAGGGCCCTCCTCCAGCGAGATCAATGCCACCACCCTGGAGGACGGTGAGGGCCACCTTAGGGTGAGAGCGGGGGTGGTCACAAACACTGTTTCGGACACAGACAGGGCTCCCAGTGAGGGCATGTGTGTCCTTCCACTTGTTCCTGGGCACAACTTGGTCTTGTGAATGACACCAACTCCCTGGATCCTCTCATCTTTTCTTGCTCATGGCTCCTTGAAGGGGGCCTGGTCTATTCAGCCTTCCAGGCCTCCCAGCCTGTTTGAGTGGCTCCTTCTTCGCTTGCTGATTCTCTGCCCCTTAGTCTACCTGTGTACCTGCCGGGCCGTCCGAGCTCTTGTCCATATTCCTGTCTCTCCCTCTGTGCATCTCCCTTCTTCTATTACCCACTATTCCTTCTCTCTGACAAAGCTCCTCCCTCCACATCCTGGGTCCTGTTTCTCCTCCTTTACAGCTTCTTGGGGAAAGCGCAAAAGTCCATGAACCTTGTACTTCTAGGCTAGAATCTGTCATCTGTTTGAGGGGCCAGAGATGAGACTATAGAGTTAAATCCCATCACCCATGTGGCAGAGGATTTAGAGCCCAATTTTAAAAACTTAATTTCTGATGACTGGAGAGAACTCCACACTCTGATTAGTAAATTAAGGGGCTCCGTTTCTCCAGAGGGAGAAGATCAGGAGGAAACAGAAATATTCCTGCTAAGCACAGAGTAACTATTCAGCTGTTACCTGAGCCTGCACCAGGTCAAAATAGGAGATGTGTCCTTGATGCTCCCAGAGATGGGACCAAGCTTGTCAAAGCCCCACAGAAAGCAGAAAAAGAAGAGAGTCTTCTTCAAAGCTTTCTTGTTGATACCACAACCCCAAACTGGAGTCTGAAAATAAAACCTGCCTGGAGCCTGGGGCTGCTAACCCACACCTGACAGAGGAAAGGCTGACACTTGGAGGGCATGATGCCATCCCCACTTTGCGTATCCAAATAAAATCACTTGAGAGCCATTCCTGTAGTTAAGCAGCACCCTCTCCTGCCCTCTCCCCCTTGGAAATACAGCTCCCAGGAGGGAATATGTATGAGGTCAGAAGCACCTGAGAGTCCCTGACTTTGGCTATACATTAAAATTGTTGGGGAGCTTACAACAGAGTGATGCTCACACCTGGACCGCAGAGATTCTCATCTCGTGGCTCTGAGGCACAAGCTGGGCTTTGGAGTGGGGCTGACTTCAGTAGCCCCAGAGAAAAAGGGAGACCACAAAAGAGGAGAAAGACGTGCAGAGATGTGGAGAGAGCTACATGGACACCTGGAGATACTGGCCACAGGCCTGGCTACATTAGGGACATCAGCTTGCCACCTCTTCACAGCAGTGGTATTAATCCAAGCAGTTCCTTAACAGTGTGGTTCTCAAGCCTGAGTCTCTTCAGAACACCCTTGGAGGGCTGGGCCCAGTCCAGAGCTCTGCTGCAGGTCTGAGGACTTGCCAAGAACTTGCAATTCTACTACATTGCCTTCAGAAGACTGATGTTGCTGTGGGTCCAGGGAGCTTTGAGAACCACAGCTGGGTCCTTATCCACAAAGGGCAGCCAAGGCTCACAGAGGTTAAGTGACCTGTCCAGAATGACCCATCTAGTAACTAACAGAGCCAGGATCCGAATCCAGGACACAGCCTGGTCCCTTACTCTTCCTGCTCCACTGTGTCCTATTCTCTTTGTGTTTGGAAGCAAGGTTGGAGGCAGGGATGAGAGATGTGGACACAACATGCTCCAGAATGGACTGTCCAAGAAACAGCTAGCCCTGGCCTAGGCCGTGCCACCCAGTCTAACCCAGAGGTCTCATCCCCTAGGTGGGCCAGAACACAGCCTCCATCAACACCACCTCCCTGGCCAATGTGGCCCCTAGAATTTCCAGCAGGAGAGCAATCAGCATGGGCTTCAGAGCCCTTTTCAAAACAAAGAAGGAAAGGGGAAAGAAAGTTTCCAGTAGCATTTGCTCAGCAGTTTTTCATACTTAATTAAGGCCCTTGTTAGCCTGTCAGATCCTGATCGTTTCCTAGCAATATTAGCACTCCTCCTGGGGTATTCAAGGGCCCCTGCCTTAGCAAGAGTGTCTTTTCCATAATTATATTACCTTCATTTTGTTCAAACGGGCGATCTGTATTAGTTTATTACACTGGGTCCCTAATTACATGGTGCTTATATTTTTACACCTAAGTAATATGAAACAATAATCATTCTCAAAGAGGATCGTTAGGATGATGTATTATCATTTAAATGCTCATAAAAATTAGAGTTGCCTCTTGTGGGGCAATGGGATCTAATTACCTTCCCTCCAGCCTGTGCCTCCTTTCTCCCATTCAACAGTGCAGCAGACTGTCTCTTTCCCTTTGTCCCTAGCTCCTCAAAAGCCAGCAGGAAGTGCCACCAAAGTTCTCCTTTAGCCAAGATGGGGCCTGAGGCCTGTTGCTGCTACAATCTGTCATCTCAGAAAGGCAGGCTGCACCTGGGCCAATGCAGGATGAGGGAACCAAGGTGAAATACAGCAGGAGCTCTTGGAGAGAGGGGATTAGGTCAGGTGGGCCACCTGAGTTGGCCTCAGATCATGTTGGCATGTTCATGTACAGGGACAAGACAGAGGGTAACTGTCTCGGGAGTCCTAGAGGCCTCTGTGATAGCTCCTCTCCCTCAAACCAAGACTAGTTAAGACTCCCTGGACTGAAACTTGGGACAGGCATCCCCAGGGCCAGACCTTGGCTCGGATCCCTCATCAGTGCACACAGAGGCTTTGGCAGCCATCAGATGAGATATTAAAATACAGATGTGTCCAGGGCCAATGTGAGCTCCCAGGCTTTGCTCCCATAAGCAGAGGTGGATGACCTGGCTGTGGTGGTGTAGGGGTGAATTCCCAGGGGTTATACCTGGAGTTCCTCCCCTTCCCCCACATCTAACAAGAACCAGGAAATGCTGCCCAGGGAGCAAGAGCCACATCTCTAAAGCTTTCTGTCTATGCTCATCTCCAGGAAAGAAGACTCGTGCGTGGCCCAGCCTCCAGGCTCACAGTCACCGGGTCCTTCCACTTGTCTAACCCAGGGCCCAACCCAGAATGTGTATATTGTGCTGTCACTCACATCGCTGCCTGACTTGGTTCTCCCCCATCCCGTGCAGTGCCCAGCCAGCCCCCTGAGAACGTCCGGGCCCTGTCCATCACTTCTGATGTAGCTGTCATCTCCTGGTCAGAGCCCCCTCGCAGCACCCTCAATGGCGTCCTCAAAGGCTATCGGGTCATCTTCTGGTCACTCTACGTGGATGGGGGTGAGTAGTCTGCTGGGACTGACGGTGGGTCTCACGGTGACAGACGCTGCTCCCAGGCTTAGAGCTGAACATCTTCCCATGCATGTCAAGTGGAGCAGGAGGCCGCAAGGAGGTCAGTGGTGAGGAGGCCAAGAGAAAGTGAAGGAACTGTTCAGGATCCACTTCTCCAGGGCCAGAGCTGGCACAGGGTGGATGGTAGTGTGCATGGCCACCTCTCTCTCTCTAGGGGTAGAAGGAGACATCCAGCTGCTCCCAGTATATGTGGGTGTTATTTGGAGCACGTTTGCTTTTCTAACTGAACATACCAATATTAGGCTTTCAAGACCGAATCAGTCCTGTCCCACAGGAGCAGCTGGTATGCTCAAATGGGGCAACTGGAGAGTTTCATGATGGGTGCGAAGGAGGGTGGGCAGCCGAGGCTGGCACAAGCTGATGCCGGCACCACCTGGGCCTGGCAGGGTGAGCAGGAGCCAGGTTACAGGCACCTTGGGAAGCCTGCCCTTGGCCACACCCAGCTGGAGTCAGGCAGGCAGAAAGGGATGCAGAAGGGCAGGTGCAGGTGAGTGCCCCGAGGAGTGCAGGTGGAGTGCAGGGGAGCAAAGGGAGCCAGCGACTCAGCATCCCAAACTATCCAAATGTCTACTGACGCCCTTACACATCTCAGCTGAGCTCAAGCGGGGGAAATGAGTTTGTCTTCCCAAGACATGAGCCTTTTGCCCCTGTGCCCTGCTCTTCGGTGACAGCATGAGCTGGATTCCCGGGTCCTCCAAAAAGGAAGAGAAGGACGCAGGGTCTTCCCTGCTGCCTATGCCAAGGCCTCTGAGCTCCCTCCTGCACTGACTGGAGTCCCCTCATGCAGGCTTAGCATTCTCACCTCTGGGCCCTGGTGAACTCTGCCCTCCCCTGGCCAGGCCCTGCCCTAGGTCACCGCAAGGTGCCAGGAGTCCGTCTGCAGTTGTTCATCTCTGCAAGGCCTGTCCTCAGCCAGTCTTTCTGGAAGGGCTGTGAGAGGCAATGGGAGGCTCAGAAGCTGTCTCTTCTCCCATGGCCCTTGCCCTCCCATGTTACTCTCTCCTTAAGCTTTTTTTGGGGTCTTCAGGAAGTTCCTCGTTAGAACAAAGAGGATGGGTCCTCACTGAGCCTTCCTGGCTGAGGCCATCAGCCCCATCAGCTTCCCCCAGGTTCTCTGTTCGGGTTCTCAGCAGGGCATGGCTGGCTGTGCCCTCAACAGTGAGGGAAAAGCAGATGGCCACATAGTCCCTTATCCTCACTGAACAGCCAGGGGCCTCAGAGGCCAGGGAGGCGGCTCAGCCTGCCATGCGTCACCTGCAGGTGGACACACTGCCCAGCAAGAGCTGACAGCCCATGGAGTAGCCGAGCAGCAGGAAGAACAGATGCTGGGGGCAGGCCATGCAGGGTCCCTCACCCGGGGAGGGAGGTGTGTGGCAGGAAGAGACACGCCTCAGGGACAACTGAGGAGCTGGAGAAAGGTAGAGCAACTGCCAAGTTGAAGTTGGTACAAAGTCAGCTAGGGGCCAGTGTTTGGGCCTGTTTGGGACACAGGGAGAGACACAGTTTGGGGACAGTGGCCCAGATCTCCTCCCAGGGACCTTGAGGTGGAGGCATCTCTAGTTCTCAAGGTTGGAGCCCAGGCTGACAGAGGGCAACAGTGGCGGCAGGGCCGAGCCGCCGCACTCAGGGACAGGGTCTCCACAGAGTGGGGCGAGATGCAGAACATCACCACGACGCGGGAGCGGGTGGAGCTGCGAGGCATGGAGAAGTTCACCAACTACAGCGTGCAGGTGCTGGCCTACACCCAGGCCGGGGACGGCGTGCGCAGCAGCGTGCTCTACATCCAGACCAAGGAGGATGGTGAGTCCAGCCTGCAGCCACCCCGCTGCTCAGCCCAGCTCCACCCCAGGGCAAGACAAGACGAAGCACCACCCTTTCTCCTGCCCCTTTGAGCCACGGTCATGTGGCTTGGAGGACTCAGGTCCAGCTTTGGGGAGGACACCGCTGATCATGGGTCATGCTGAAATGCCTTGGGAGTGATGCATAAGGATCCAGTCCACTATTTCCCTCCCCTGCCCCTGCCCTCTGAAGCACTGAGTCACTCACTGGCCAATGAAATTCTCTCCCCCACTCCTATGGCACCTACTGCTCCTCAAGGTTGATCCTGATTCCTTCTAGACACAGAGGTTGAGGTCAGTGTAGGGAGCCCAGCACACCCTGGGCTGGGGACTTGCGCATCACTCCAGGATACTCCTGGACCCTCGAGGAAGGGAATGAGATGTGCCTCCAAACAGAACTATGGTCTCAAAGTCCTTGCTCATCAGTGCAGAGCTAGAGGAAAACCAGAGTGAAGGGACCAAACTCAGGGGAGAAGGACAAAGGAAGGGCAGGGGAAAGGAAATTAAGAGCTGACTCAGCCCAAGAAGGAAAGGGACTGGAGAAGAGCCGACTTCAGACTAGCACCCAGAGCTGCACACTTTCAGGGGCTCCATTCAAACGGGGTGCTGTGTGGAACTGTCATGTACCTCTGGGCTCCTGCTTCCGGGTCCACTTTCTTCCCCACCCCACCCACTCCCACACCTCCATCACTTCTTTTTCTTTCTTTCTTTCTTTTTGAGATAGGGTCTCACATGTCATCTAGGCTGAACTTAAACTTGAGATCTTCCTGCCTCAGGCTCCCTCGTACTATGGTTACAGCATATACCAACACATTAGACCCTTAGATGTTTCATAGTGCTCTGAGCCAGGTGCTATATTCTTAGAATTGTTGTGAAGAGGGCACTTAGAAAGTAGCCATCATTAGCATCCTGGCTTCCTTCTTACTCAACCTTAGTTTCTTCAAGGAATATGGTATTGAAGAAGAACTCAGAGTCCAGGGATTTAGTTCAGTGGTTCCACCACCTACCTCACAAGCTCAAGGTCCCAAGTTCGATCCCGGGTACCAAAAAAAAAAAAAGAACTCAGGCTAGGAGTGATGGGAAGAATTTGCATTTGCAGCCCAGAGCTCAGGGGCCAGATCAGTCCCCAGCCTGGCTGAATCTCCCTGCCCTGCCTTAGCCCCTCCACTATCTTTAAGCTCTGAGCAATTCAACACTTAACAACCTGTCTGCCCTACTTTTCCTGTCATTAATGCCCCATCACAGCTTCCCAGAACAGCTCTGGGCAGAGCCACCTGCTCTTGTTTTGAGCAAAGACGGTGCCCAGAGCCTGGTCCCATCCAATCCTGGAGGCGACATGACCCAGTCACCTTTCTGTCCTCTACAGGTGGGCCATTGAACTTCTATTGTGGTCAAGGCCAGAGCGTGAACCTCCACATGGGTTCACTGCCAAACAACACCACACTTCAGAAACCTTTAACTGAGTAAGAAGCATGACTAGCCCATGTTTTAGGAAGGTAATCCTTGTTGGACACAGGCAGTGGGTAGGGGAGGAGGGGCTACTGATGGAGGCAGAGGAGGAAGCTCTGTGCCAGGGCAGCAGCTGTGAGGACAAAGGCAAGTGGTGCTGCACCTCTAGGAATAGCAGGCTGTGTGGCTCACACCTGCTGAAGACAGCTAGGACATCTGATGAAATATGTTTCCAAACACCTCCGTGAAGGTATCTGAGAGCTGGCAAGAGAGGGAACTACTGGGCCAGGATCCAAAGGAAAATAGAGGCCCAGGAGGTGAACCTGACATGCATAACAGCCCTTTCTCCGGGGGACATCTGCTGAATCTGGAGCCGTGGCTGAGAGCAGCTCTAGAAGCGCATGCACCGGGGACAGGGCCTGCCACGCACTTGTATCATCTGTGAGCACCCCACACTTTGACCTGAGACCATGAAGAACAGACCACACTTTCACCGCAGCGGTAGAAGTGGACCAAAGTACACAGCTCAGCTGGAAGCATCTCAGTCCCAAACTAACTGAGACAACCCAGATTGCTGGGACCTGGGATGCCTCGGCTGTCAGAAGCAAACACAAGTCCACTCTTCACAAAGGCATCATCGGTCTTAGGTTATTTCTACAAAGAATTTGGCAAATCCTGCGCCTAGCATAGAAAAAAAGATAATAGGGATGACGTGAACAAAATTCAGGGGAGAAAAAAAGATTAAAAAAACAGATCCACAAGGGCTCCAAATGTGAAATTATCAAACTCTTTAAAAGAAGTTGTGGTTTTTCTATAAAATGGAATATTACTCAGCCATAAAGAATGAGAAAATAGATTCATTCATAGGAAAATGGATACATATTGAAGATATACTCCTAAGTGAAATAAATAAGTCACACATGTGTAAATACCGAATAGTTTCACTGGTGTAAATAATCTGTAACAATGCATAAGCTTCTAATAAGATTACTGACATTTAGAAATGGGAAGAAAGGAGCTAAAGGTGTAGGGAAGGTGGGATGGGTAGGGGAAGAGTAAAAAGGGAAAAGAAAAAAATGTGAGAGAATGAAAAGATGAAAATAAAGTGTTTGTAGATGGGGAGAGGAGGAAGGGGTGAAGGGAGAGCAGAGGTAAGGGGAAAAAATGAGAATCAAGACTTGTCATGTAGAGGTACAAGATCCCAACAATGAATGTAACTGTACTGCATCCCTAAAATATACCAATAAACTCAATTAAAGCTGAAAAAAAAACAATTATGCTGAACAGAGGGTAAATATTGGGAAGTAGAAAGAACATGTTCAAATGGGAAGGGGAACAAAGGAGGAGGAATGGAGAGGAAAGAAAAGCAAAAGAAAAAAAGAAAACAGAAGGAAAAAATGGAGACAAAACTTGTGTAACTTGGGAGGGGGAAAAGGGCTGAAGAGGGGGAAGGGAATGGGAAAGAAAGAGAATTAAGATATGTTAGGTACAGGTACAAATTCCCTGTGATGATCATGACCAGTGATGTGACAATGGGCCAGGGATTTAGCTCATGGTTCCACAGCCTGCCTTGCAAGCCCAAGGTCCTGAGTTCGATCCCTGGTACCAAAAAAAAAAAAAAAAAAACGTGATAAATATGTACTTATAAAAAATAAAGTTAAAAAGACAATTAGGCTTAGAAAGATTATAATTTTCAGAGAAACTGTCAAATGGAAATGGAAAATAAAAACTAACAATAGCTCAAAGTTAGAACCCAGTAGACGAGTTTAATAATGCATTGGACAGTGCTGAAGAGATAACCTATGAAATGGAACATAGATTACAGGAAAATACCCAGGTGAGCACTTAAAGACAAATGAACGGGAAAGGTAAGAGCAGGTAAGAGACATGGAGAAGTGAACCTTCATCTAGAATATGTATCCAAATCACCCAGAATCATGTTAAAATTCGATTCCAGCTCACAGGTGTAGTGTGGAAGCTGAGATTTTGCATTTCTAACATGTTCCCAGGGGGTGCCAGTGCCGCTGCACACGCCATTCTGAGTATCCAGTACACAGAGGAGTCAGTGAAAAGAAACCTCACAGGAGAGCAAAAGTGAATGGAGCAGAAGATAAAATTTCTGAAAACGTAGTAAAATAGACAAAAGATATGAAAGCAAAAACTCAAGGAGTTCTGCAAGCTCTGAAGACAACAGATTAAAGAAATCTATCCCTAAGCATATTACATTAAAACTGGAGGGAGGGAAGGAGAGAGAGAGGAGGAGGAAGGAGGAGGAGGTGAAAAAGAGGGGGAAGGGAGGAGGGTGCAAAGGAGAGGAGGAGAAGAGGTGGAGGAAGAGGAAGAAGAAAGAAGAGGAGAAGGAAGAGAAAGGGGAGAAGAAGGAACAGAGAGAAGAAAGGGGAGGGGAGGGGAGAGGAAAGGAGAGGCCTTAAAAGCAATCACAGGGAGGAAGACTGAAAATAAGATTAAGATTATCAGCTAACGTCAGAAACAATGGAAGCCAGAAAACAAGGAGCCAAGCATCCTCACTGGAGGAAAGATAGCCTCTTTAATAAATGGTGTTGGAAAAACTGGATTTCAACCTGCCAAAGATTAAAACTAGACCCTTATCTTTCACCATGCACCAAACTAAAATCCAAGTGGATTAAAGACCTAAACATTAAAACAGAAACACTAAACATGCTGGAAAGTAAGTTAGGTAGAACTCTCGAAAACATGGGCATTGGAAAAGACTTTATGAACAAATCCTCAGTAGCACGGGAACTAGAATCAACAAACTGGAACAAAGAAGCAACAACGGGGATCTCATCTTATCAAAAAGCTTCTGGGGCCAGGGATTTGGCTCAATGGTTCTACCGCCTGCCTCACAAGCACAAGGGCCTAAGTTCCATCCCTAGTAACATAAATAAATAAATAAATAGCTTCTGTACTGCAAAAGAAACCACCAAGAGAGCTAAGAGACAACCTACAATGTGAGGAAAAACTTTTATCAGCTGTTCCTCAAAGGTCTAGTATCTAGAATATATGAAGAACTCAAAAAAATCAGACCTCCCAAATATAAAGACCCAATTCAAAAATGGTCATCTGGGCCGGGGATTTAGCTCAGTGCTTCCACCGACTGCCTCACAAGCACAAGGACCTGAGTTTGATCCCTGGTACCATTACCTACAATGTGAGGAAAAACTTTTATCAGCTGTTCCTCAAAGGTCTAGTATCTAGAATATATGAAGAACTCAAAAAAATCAGACCTCCCAAATATAAAGACCCAATTCAAAAATGGTCATCTGGGCCGGGGATTTAGCTCAGTGCTTCCACCGACTGCCTCACAAGCACAAGGACCTGAGTTTGATCCCTGGTACCATTATAAAAAAAATCACACAATAACAAATGCTGGTGGGGTTGTGGGGAGAAAGGAACCCTTCTCCATTGTTGGTGGGAATGCAGACTGGTGCAACCACTATGGAAATCAATATGGAGATACCTCAAACAACAAGAATTAGAGGTCCCATTTGACCCAGCCATCCCTCTGCTGGGTATTTTTCCAAAAGAATTAAAAGAATCACATCACAGTGATGTATGCTCACCCATGTTTATAGCAGCCCAGTTTGTAATAGCTAAAGCTTGGAAACAGCCCAGTTGACCATCAACTGAAGACTGGACAAAGATGTAGTTTTTCTATAAAATGGAAAACTACTCAGCCATAAAGAACAAGAAACTAGAGACATTTATAGATAAATAGATGCACATTGAGGCCATACTCAAGTGAAATAAGTAGGACAAACGTGTAAATACTGAATAGTTTCTCTGGTGTGAAAAAATTAAAAGTGTAAATAAGGCTTAAATTGAATAATTGATAATGTAAAATAGGAAGAAAAGGTCTAAAGGAGTAGGGGAAGTGGGAAGAGTAGGGGAAAGGAAAGAAGGGAAAAGAAAAAATATGAGAAAAGGAAAAATGGAAACAGTCTTTGTAAATTGGGAAGGGTGGAGAGGGTGAAGGGAGGGCAGGGGAATGGGGAAAAAACAAGAACCAAGAAACATCATGTAAAGGTACAAGAACCCAATGATTAATGTAACTGGACTCTACCAATAAAATTAATGAAAAAAATGTAAGGTTAAATAATAGTCAAGTTAATAGAAGGAGAAAAATGAATTTTTTTTTTTGAGACAGAGTCTCACTATGTAGTTGAGACTGACCTGGGACTTACTATGTAGCTCAGGCTGGTCTCAAACTCATAGTGATCCTCCTGTCTCAGCCTCCCAAGTGCTGAGATTAAAGGTGTGCACCACAACACCTGGCTCAAAATGAAACTTTTAAAATAATCTGAAAAAGGGGCACTAGAGGAGGAAAAACAACAGACTAGAAAAAAACCAGAAATATTTGGTAAAGTGGTATATTTAAGTCCAAATATACCAGTAATTTCATTAAAAATAAATTTACTAAATTCTCCAACCAAAGATAAGACTATCAGGCTGACAAGCAAAAACCAAAACCAGTTCTGAAAACTGGCCACTCCCAGGAACTGCATTTCAGCAACTTTGGTACAGGCCCCAGATGATCACCATTCTCCCCCAGCTGTTTGCCTTTGGAAACCTACCCCCTTTGAACCATAGCTCAGAGAGGCCACCTTCAGGAAGCTCCCTGGGCTTCTGGTGCTCCTGTGTTCCTCCTTTCTCTAAACTGACCAGGCTTTCTCCATGCTCAGTTCCAGGTCCCCCTGCTGGCATCAAAGCCGTCCCTTCATCTGCTAGTAGTGTGGTGGTGTCTTGGCTCCCTCCCACCAAGCCCAATGGCGTGATCCGCAAGTACACCATCTTCTGCTCGAGTCCTGGGTCAGGCCAGCCGGTAAGTGGGATTCTAGAAATGATGGGGAACAAAGAAAAAGTTCTATAGAGAAAACACAGGATCCACTGGCTTCCAGACAAAACGCTGGGGTTGCCGGCATCTGCACTTCTAGATGGAATCGTAGTTCAGAATGGGCACTGTCACCCCAGAGTGGCTGAAGTCTTACCTACTGTCCATTTTGGGTCAGCCCTCTGCTCGAGGCTGCATCATTGTCACAAGCCTTGGAGGCTCTTTCTGAAGAGTGACCAAGAGATCATAACCAAGAGGGCAGGGAAACAGGAAGGCCGATCTCAGCCCTTCTGGTCTGGCTGATTATGGAACCTCCTAGCAGGCCCCAGGGATGGTGACTGGGGACCAACTGACCTTTGATCAGGGTAAGCTGGGCTTGGACATGCTGCTGGAGCTCTGCCCTGAGTGATTGCCTCAGCGAAGAGCCAGCTATGGGAGGAGGAAAAATGGGGCACAGCAGAGAGAGCACAGGCACCTCTTGGGTGAAAGCTTGGGGAGAAGACAGAATCTGAGGATCAGCCCCAACCTGGGGGCACAGGGGCAGCCTCAGCAAAGGCACAGTGTAGAGGGTTAGCTTTGTCCCTTACACGAAGTACTTGGAGGTCCCCACAGGGAGGAAAGAGAAGCTATCCCATATAATGTCCCTGCTTCTTCTTGATCTCCAGCCACACGTGCGCAAGGCCCTGCCAAGTAACTTCTCCAGAACACACCTGTTCTAGGGGTGGGAGCGGGTGCAGACTGAGTGGCTACCAGTCTAGTGAGGATGACAGCCCACCAAGGGCCGTGAGCACTGTCACAGATGGGCTCAGGTCGGGGGCAGGAGGAGGCCGGCTTCTTCCTCCACCAACAGCTCATCATCAGCACCAGCAGCTGGGTGAGCTTTGGGCCACCAGGAGAGCTGCCCTAAAATGACTCAGTAATTGTGTCACTGCCTCTTGTACCTCTCTCCTTTCTTTGTGAATTACCCTCCATGTAGTGGGGGCTTGGCTCCTCACTAGTGAGGCCAGAATTCTCTACCCTAGGGCAGGCAGAGACTTGAGCCACTCCTCACCATCCTCTTGGCCACCACTTCACATGCAATACAGTGTGTGCAACACACTCAGGTGGCAGCACCCAGAGCAGGGGACAGGGAACTTTATAACACCCTGGAAAGCCAGCTGGTGCCCCTTCCAGCCACTCCCCACCCCCACCAGGAAAACACCCCCACCTGACTTCAGCGGCAGGATTAGCACTGCCCCTTTACCCTTTGTATGGAGTCCTGTCCTCACGTTGCTTCTATTCACAGGATTTTGCATTTATGAATTTCATCCACATAGTTGGGGTTATAGATCACTCCTTCTCTCTTCCATGTAGTCTTTGATGCTGTGCCTATTGTCCCATTTATTTATCCATTGTGCTATCCATCCTGGTTGGAAGGCTTGGGGGAGGGCAGTTTCCTCTTGGGGCTAAATGCCTGGTACTGCTATACTAGCCCCACATACATCTCTTGGTCCTTGTGTGCATGAGTCTCCGTGGTGTATGCATGAAGGAGAAGTACTGGTCACGGGGCCTACAGATGGTAGCTGAGAGCTTCCTACCACTGCTGCGTTCCTATGCCAGTGACACCTCCACTCATGGAGGATAAAACTTCCAGTCACACAAAGACTTGTCACGTAGAGGTAGAAGATCCCAACAGTGAATGTAACTGTACTGTATCCCTAAAATGTACCAATAAACTCAATTAAAGCTGAAAAAAAAAAAAAACCTTCTAGTCACTTCACATTTGCAGCCACCCCTGGCATTTTCCAATCAATGTTTTCATCCATGTCTTCTGCTCCTTTTCCCCTATCTACACACATTTTAGGCTGTCACAACATCAGGCTTTTGACTGTACTGGACGCCCACTCTGCCTTGCACACCTGCGTGCCTTTGCCGCCCCTCGTCCTAGCATGGCATGCTCCTCCATCACACCTGAAGGCCTTGGATGGCATTCTTGGATGGTAGTTCTTGTATCTGTCTTCTACACGGTCCCTAAGGCCCTGGAAGGACAAGGACAGCACCCTTTTATCTTTAGGTCCCCAGCTGTGGAATAATGTGCTAGGAACATTCCGGTCACTAATACATGTTTGATGAGTGAATAAGTAGCAGCCTAGTAACTGTAACACTGTAGACATTAGGAAGTTTCCTTTCATAACTGATGGGAGAAAGCAGTCATTCTCTGGCTTGGGATTTCATAGCTGTTTCCTCCTCTGATGATAAAGTCTTTCAAAGAGACGGGTGGTGTCAGGAGCTCCTCATTAGCTCAGGCTTCAGGAGTTCCCAGTCAGCTGTCTGGGATCCTCTCCCAGGCCCCAGAACAGAGCTCTCAGTCCCCGTCCTCTCTTCCTGCTGCTGGAGTCACCGGGACTATGTTAATAAGCCTTCTGTTACTATGACAGATACCTGAGATAATCAACTTAGAAAGAGGAAAGGTTTATTTTGGTTCATGGTTTCCAAGATTTCAGTTTATAGCCTCTTGCCCCATTGCCTTTAAGCCTGTGGCAAAGTACAGCATCATGGTAAAGCACATGGTAGAGCAAGATGGTCACCTCGTGGCAGATGGGAAACAAAAAGAGAGACAGGAAAGGGCCAGGCTCCTGATATCCACTTCAAGGGCCTGGCCTCAGTGAACTAACTTCCTCCACTAGGCCCCATCTCCTAAAGCTCCAGCATGTCCCATAGTGCCACAGGCTGGCATCAAGCCTTAAACACGTGGGCCTTGGGTGATATTTGAGACCCCAACTGCAGCCAGGCCCCTCCTTTCGAGCTCTTCATGTCCTAAGCATGTGGGACCCTTCCCTTTCCAAGGGAGATTTCCCACTGATCTGATGAGAATAGATTCTCGGTATTGTCCAGTCGGTTTTCATCCATGTCTTCAGATGTGTCTCAGGTCTGATGAGGACTTGGGTTCCACCATTTGGAAGGACTGAGAAGGAAGGGACAGGAAGTAGGCTGAACTCAGTGAGGGACCCAGGGACCCAGTTATTTTGCACATATGCATTCCAAATTCTAAACAGCTATGTTGCAAGTTCATTTATAAGACAGCTCTGGGCAGGGATGCTAGGGGTGAGGACACACGTGTATTGAAGGCATGAGTGTGGGATGGCAGCAGGCGACATAAGACTGGGCGTGCAGAACAGGCCAGGGGTGGAGTGTGAACATGTACATGCGGACACCTCTGAGTAGAAAGTGTACATGGCACTGGCTGTTGGTGAAATACGAGGGGTGTGGCCCAGAGTCTGGGTAGAAAGTTTACCAAAGACTTAAATACATTTGTTAGTTTTCTATGATTCTAAAAATAATACAACTTTATTACAGAAAATTCTGTAGAATATTGAAGGAATAAAGAGCAAAGTAAACAATGCTTGTGCTCTCACTCCCTAAAGATAAACACTGGTAACGTTTTAGTACATAGTGTTCTAGTCTTTGATCTGCACAAATACTATGGATTGGGATTTGCTTTCTTTTTATAAAATTCTATACAATAGTATGTAACCTGCTTTTTTCATGTAACTCACATAGGTACTTTTCCATGCCATCAGATAGTCTTTTAAAACATGATCTTGAATGGCCATTTATGTATATTATCTAACAAGTGTCCCTTTTTTTATATTTACTGTATCATTCAAATTTTCACCCTATAAATAATGCTTCTTCACAAAAACATTCTTCACGAAAGTCTTGATGCACACATTTTAATATTTTCTTAAGGTAAACTTCTACAGAAATTCCTGGGTCACCAAAGAGTAAATATTATTACAGGTCTGCATTCACATTTACAAACTGCCCTTCAAAGCGTCTGCACCAACACGTGTCCACCCGCACTGCAGATTACCTGTGGCGCCGTACGGACCACCAGCATGGTCCTGTACATCTGTGGCTGTCCTCAGTTTGCTTTTTGATTTGTTTTCCTTTCTGCCAGCTCTATTTTTTATTTTAAAAGGGGGGAGTGTTTGGGCTATTTTTTTCTTCTTCGGATAATTCTCAGTTCATTTTTTTTTTCTATTTAGGTTGCTCTTTTTTTTTCTTCTCAATTTCTAAGCAGTCTCTACATATTAAGAGAATAGCCATTTAATATCATATCATATCATTTGCAAGTGTTTACCAGTTGACTTCTTGTCTCTTAATTCTGTTTTTGATGGACCTTCGTGTTTTCTTTTATAGAACTTACATTTATTTGTCACTTCCATTTATGATGTTTACCTTTATTTTTATTAGAAAAACAGATAAATATTTACCCATGGTTTCACAGTTTTATTTTTTAAAATTTGATCCACTGAGGCTCAATATGGAGACATGACTTTTGAAAGTAATTTTAAGGGCATTTAGATTTAAAAGAAGGCACCCAGGATAGGGTTAAGATGCTAGTATCTTCCAAGGGAAGCCAAACTTTCCTGCCCTGTGTAGGCACAGATGCACCCAGAGGCACACACTGACATACAACCCGGAACACTCAACTTTTTTGAAACATAGGCACACATACACACACATACAAAGTATCTCACTGAAAATGAGGCCAGAGAAGAACGTGTCCCCATTTACAAAGGACTTCTGTACTCTTTGCCTCATTATACCTCACAGTCACGACAGAGGTAGGCAGAACTGCATTGCTTCCTACTTTGCAGGAAACATCTGAGGGCCTGGGGGGCATGGGTGACACCATGTGTCATGTGCTTAGTAAGAAGGGCAAGCAAGAATTGCAACTGCCACGCCACCCCCAGGCCTCCTGCACAGATATGAACCGCAAGCCAGATATACTGCCCACAGAGTACAATGGCTGTAGCTTCCCAACTACCAGTGCCCAGGCTAGCTCTGCGCCTGTCCCCAGCAGGCCTAGATTCAAGGCTAGACCCCCATGAAGAAGGCAGGAGGAGGAGTCTACTAGAGAGCTTAGTGTGTATGGCGGAAGATGCCTACTCCTTCTCCCACATTCCCGTGCAGATGGCTTGGGCCCAGAATGATGTTTTCTCCTGTAAGTTGTTGGTTTCCCCAGCCTCCTGTGGACATGGAGAATGTCCCTCTCTGACCCCATACCTGTCTGGAAGTCTGTCCCTCCTCTCATGCATATCCCTGAGCATATGTGTGTGTGTGTGTGTGTGTGTGTGTGTGTGTGTATGTACATGCGCACATGCACAAGCAAGAACCCACAACTACAGAGATAACTAATCATTAGCTCCCTCTGGCCTCAAGGACCCCCATCTGCTCCTGGGGCTGCTGCCCCTCCTTGGACTTCCACCCTGATTTCAAAGGGGCTCTGGTGCTGTCCTCTTCTCCTTTCCCTGCGGCTGACCAAAAAATAAAATAAAATGAAAGTCAGCCCCATCCCGCCTGTACTGGGAAGAGGCTGACAGGAGGTCTGCAAACTAGCGCTTATCAAAAGCTCCTTCTCAAATTCATTTCAATATCTGAGCCTCTGGTTTCCAAGGCAACATAATCTTTTCATCAAAGCAACTGGTAAAACCACTGGGATCTGATATTGTTTTGTTGGCAACTTGTCAAAACTGTCATTTGGTTTAAAAAAATTTATAGATTTATGTAACCTACAAATATATATGGTGATCTATACCACTAATAATCATTAATAAAGTGCTGCCCAGTAAAGCTCTCACAGCACCTCTCCCACCTCTTCTTGCAGAAGGAAGGAGTATCATTAGATGGCAGGGCTGGGAGGTGACTCTGAACCAGAGACAGGCTGCGAGCCCCTGTCTACAGCTCTAATAAGGCAAAAGCAGTAATTTAGCTTCTTCTCAGAAACTCTTTCTTTTCTCACCATTTTTCCATGACTCTCTGTCCCGCATGCTCCTTTTTCCCATCTCACCCAAAATATTCACATTACCTGGCCTGGTACCACAGCAGCCAGAGCCAGCATCACTCAGAGAGATAAACTGAGGTTGTCCCAGCAATGCTGCCACAGCCTGTACAAATGCCAGACAGTGACGGTCCAAAACTTGGAAAAGACAAACTGAACACAATCCTGCCTCCTCTAGAAGCTGCCATCCCCTCCTCCAGCCCAGGGCATTGCAGAAGGGAACAGGTTAGAGGCCAAGAGCCTGGGCTTTGCTTCTTAGGCCCACTTTGCCCTACCCCACAGGCTCCTAGCGAGTATGAGACCAGTCCAGAGCAGCTGTTCTACCGGATCGCCCACCTGAACCGGGGGCAGCAGTACCTGCTGTGGGTGGCAGCCGTCACCTCTGCTGGCCGGGGCAACAGCAGCGAGAAAGTCACCATCGAGCCTGCCGGCAAGGGTGAGAAGCTTAAGGCTGGGGCAGATGGGCAGAAGCTCCCTTCCAGAACCCTATTTCTCCCCTCCACCTTGACCCAGCTGTAAGGAGCTGGCCATTCGCCTCTGTCCTGCCTTCTGCCTGCATCCACCAAGACTGAGCCTCTACTGCCCCCTGACTCCTGAAAAGCTACACAGCAGGCTGCAGCCAGCCTGACTGCCTGCTCGTGCACAGCCTGCCCCAAACCCTCCTCTTACGTTGAAAGAAGAGGAGGCACCATCACCACCCCTCAGTGCTGAGCCGATGTCCCAGTGCCCAGATCCTTGGGGATGGGGAAGCCGCAGCAGGGTGCACCACCGGCACCAAAGAGAGCACCCTGCTGTGTGGGATGCTGTGGGCAGAGGGTCTCCACCATGACCCACATGCCTAGCATGCTCTGGGTTGGCATAAGAACTTCCTAGTATGTGCTCCCCAAATCCTTAGCCTGGGCATGAGTATGGCATGCCCATACCCTGACTTTTGAAAGGAATGACATTTCTAAGGCCTCAACCTCTGACCCAAGGCTGGAGCCAAGCAATTGGCTTCTCCACTTGGCTCTGGGCCCTTCCTCTTGCCCTGTCTCCTCTCCCAGCTACTACCTAACAACGCCCCCCCCCACACACACACACACATGCACACATGCAGAACATGTAGACTCAGCTTCATCCCAGATGTCCCCCTCCCTGCGGGCCCCACATGCACAGCAGGGTCAGTGTGAGGTGGAGTCTTCCAGCCTTACCTGCCAAAGCGACCTTTCTGCTGTGTCCTTGCCTCCGAGGGCTCTGTCTCCATCTAGAAGGCCCAGCCAGAGTCCTGGGGAGTCATCTTCACCTCCCCCATCAGAACTAGTCCAGCTTGGTATAATGGTACATACTTGTAACCCCAGCACTTGGGAGGCTGAGGCAGGAGTATCCTCGTGAAGTCAGGGCCAGTCTGGGCTACACAGTGAGTTCAAGGCCAGCCTCAACTACATAGAGAGACTTTGTCTCAAAAAAAAAAAAAAACTAGTCTAACCTTGGGTCCTATCAGTCTTTGTCATGAGCTCTAATCTCCTTCCCTCTACCACACATCTCCTCCAGCCTGCACGCTGGCCCCATCTTGTCACCACCTGTTCTTCAGGGCTGCCTCCACCAATGCAGCCAGGGTTTTATCCAAAACCTCTCTTGACTCGAATTGTAAGTCTGAGGAGCCCTATGGAAGGGGGCCGGGGAGAGCTATACAGTAGATTGGAGTGGCCCTCCCGCTGTCTTTCCCATAGCCCCAGCAAAGATCATCTCATTCGGGGGCACTGTGACGACACCCTGGATGAAGGACGTCCGACTGCCTTGCAATTCGGTGGGAGATCCAGCACCCACTGTGAAGTGGACCAAGGACAGGTATGCCTCAGGCCACAGAGGAGAGTCTAAGGTGTCCTTTGTGCCGGCTGCCTGGCTCCCCTCCTGGCCCTGCTCTCACAGTGGGCTGGCCTGGGGGCTCCCCCTGCCAGGCCAGGATCTCCCTTCCCCGGGTGGCGGGAGGCAGTGTTGCCGAAGACTCCCAGGAAGAGCTGAGCACAACCCCAGGAATCCAGAGTCCCCCAGCATGCCTCTTCCCACTCCGAGTTTATTTGCCCCCACACCAGGGAGGGTCCCAGGACAAGGGGCCCCATCCTCCACTGCTCCTTTGCCCAGCAGCGAGGACTCTGCCATCCCCGTGTCTATGGATGGGCACCGGCTCATCCACACGAACGGCACCCTGCTGCTGCGCGCTGTGAAGGCGGAGGACTCTGGCTACTATACCTGCACAGCCACCAACACCGGTGGCTTCGACACCATCATCGTCAACCTTCTGGTGCAAGGTGAGACCCCAAGAGGAGGTGGCTCCATGGGCAGGGATAGAGAAAGAGTAGGAATTACATCATGTGAGAGAGGGTTAGTGAAGGCAGGAAACCAAACCCTAAAGTGGGGGGCAGACCTTGAAACAGATGAGGAATGGACAGGAGACAGGAAGACTGGGGAGAAGGAGCATGGAAGAACCAGGGATTTCCTGTCATGGGTCTCCGGGCCCCAGCACCAGGGTCTTCCCCCTGCTGAGGGCCATGACTTTCCTCACAGTTCCCCCGGATCAGCCCCGCCTCACTGTCTCCAAAACCTCCGCTTCGTCCATCACCCTGACCTGGATTCCTGGTGACAATGGGGGCAGCTCCATCCGAGGTGAGGAGGGGCCTGGATGAGGAGAGAGGAAGGAAAGGAATCTGGGGTCCTGGGGCAGAGGAGGGTCTTCATCCAGCACTATCGCTTTTCCCCATAACACCTGGGAAATGACTGGGGGTGAAGGGAAAATTCTGACACAAAGACACTACTCAAATACATGGAGGGTGCACTTGCCCCCTTACCCCCCGGGAGTTGGGCAGGCCTGAAGTTTTCCTCTCTGGGCCTCAGTTTCCCCATCTGTCAAAGTAGACAAACGCACTAGATCAATGCTTCTCAAACTTGAATGTGTGTATGAATCACCAAAGGTCTCGTAAATATGCAGCTTCTTGCTCAGCAGGTCTGAGGTGGCCCTGAGAATCTACACTTCTAACAAACTACCAGGTGATCAGCTACTAAGGGAGACTCCGATTCAGAACTAAGAGTTTATGCAAGCTCCCTCTTAGGCTGCACACCTATTGTTTTCTGCTAAATCCTAACATTAGAGCTAAGGAGAGAGCAGTGCACTCCCTCAGGGCTGGACCCAAGGTCCTCTAGATTTGCCTGTGATTTGCGTATGCCCTGCCAATGGTCAATGATCCCACCCTGCTGCTATCTGCAGTCCTGACCCCACCAAGCAAGCGCAGTGGGAAACCCAAGTTGGGCCCCCACTGCCCGGCCCTGTCCAGGCCTGAGCCAAGCTGGTCCTGCAGGTTTCGTGCTGCAGTACTCAGTGGATAACAGTGAGGAGTGGAAGGACGTGTTCATCAGCTCCGGCGAGCGCTCCTTCAAGCTGGACAGCCTCAAGTGTGGCACGTGGTACAAGGTGAAGCTGGCAGCCAAGAACAGTGTGGGCTCTGGGCGCATCAGCGAGATCATCGAGGCCAAGACCCACGGGCGGGGTGAGGCCAGGGTCAGGGTAGGGATGGAGGGAAGGGCTGGGGTGTGGGCCATGGGGGAGAGGCGTGGCTGGCAGGAGGTGCAGGGACTCAGACACATGGGGGGCTGACAGGGAGACACTCAGCCTCGCTCCCATCACTAGAGCATCCTGGTAACGGAATTATCACCAAGAAAACTGGTTCCACTTCCCTGCCAGGAGGGACAGAAGGGTGGCGCTCCTCTTCCTCCTTCCCCACTTCTCATCTTTCAGGGCTGAGGACTCCCTCTGTCATTCCTTTCATTCTCTCTTCTTCCTCTCCTCCTCCTCCTCCTCCTCCTCCTCCTCCTCTTCCGCTCCTTGGTACAAACCCATTCCACCTGTGCCAAGTGCTGACCCTTGGAGCCTCAGCAGTCCCCGCTGCCCCAGAGGAATCCTTCCCAGCCCGGATAAATGCTCCCTTCCTGCTCAGGCTCTCTAACCTCTCTTCTCCCTCCGGCCCCCAGAGCCCTCCTTCAGCAAAGACCAACACCTCTTCACCCACATCAACTCTACACATGCTCGGCTTAACCTGCAGGGCTGGAACAACGGGGGCTGCCCCATCACAGCCATTGTGCTGGAGTACCGGCCCAAAGGGACCTGGGCCTGGCAGGGCCTCCGGGCCAACAACTCGGCAGAGGTGTTTCTCACTGAACTGCGAGAGGCCACGTGGTACGAGCTGCGCATGAGGGCTTGCAACAGCGCCGGCTGCGGCAACGAGACCGCCCAGTTCGCCACCCTGGACTACGATGGCAGTGAGTTGGGATGGGCAGGAGGGCACAGGGTGGCAGACACACAGATAGACAAGTAGGAAAACAAGCAGGGATACAACCAGGGAGAGGGGCTGGCAGGCAGAGAGCAGCAGTCTGACAGCAGACAGGTAAGTGGACAGATGCCCAGGCGGCCAGTACAGACAGCCAGTCAAAGGTCAGTAACCCTAAAGATGAGGCATCTTCAGAGGTGCAGTCCTTGCTTGCCATTGCTTCAAAGAGATGGTGAGGGAGAGGAGGTAGGGACAGAGCTGATGCCCTGGCCTCTGAGAACTCTGCTAACAATGTATATTCATTCACCAGGATGGGACAGCCTATGCTGCAAGAACAAACACGAGCTTTTTGTTGATTTTCTTAAAATCGTCCGAGGCTGGCTAGCTGCCACATTTTAGCCACACCATCTTGAACATGGAGCCTTCAAGATCCCTCCAAAAGAGAGAAAAGGCACACTGCTTCATACTTCCTTACCCAAGGGTTGGCACTCATCACTTCTTTTCACGCTCTAGTGAAACTGTGTTCAAATTAGTCACGTGCTCCAATCCAAATGCAAGAAGTCAGAAATGTAGACAAGCACATGGATTAATATTTGAGGAACACCTAACTGATATCTACCATGTAGGGATACCTCACACACATACAGGTCCATTAAAGCAACATAGATGGCTGAATTCTTAGGGCCCCACTGTCACAAGGTAAACAAGTCTGCATATGTGTTAAGGAAACAGAATTAAAGCAGTGTTGAGAAATGGGCCCAATAATGAAGGTTTCATGAAGCAGATAACTCTTAAGCAGAGCTGAGAAAATATGCAAGGATCGGCAGCAGAGCTTATCATTTCCTCCCCATGGGCACCCAAAGTTAGCAGACTTGCCCAGAAGAGGAGGAAGCAGGAAGAGAATGCAGGAATAGTTTTAGTCCCCATCTGAGGAAGAGAATAAAGTTCCACTGCCCTGGCTGCCCCCTACTGCTCTTCTCCCCTTGTTACCCCCAGTCCCATTCCTAGCTGGATGTGGGAATTTAAGCCCATCAATTCACCCTCTCCAATTAATAATGAAACCCAACAGGCAGGAAACTTGACTTTGAGAGATTTCAACTTTAAAATAGTACCGGGAAAAGATTAAAATAGTACAGTATAACAACTACACAACTAAACTGTCCATGGTCGTTCTAATGGAACAAGAATTTGGGGGAGCAGAGGGGAGGGTCAGGGCTGTCTGTGCCATGAGGTGGAGCTCGGAGACCGGAGTCAGCAAGAAAAGTCACAGGGGTTCCCCATCCATGGGACTCCTTACATAGACTTGGCTCATTAGGGGCACCTGACTCCCTTCTTTGCTCCCATTCAGGCACCATCCCACCTATCAAGTCTGCTCAAGGGGAAGGGGATGACGTGAAGAAGCTGTTCACAATTGGCTGCCCAGTCATCCTGGCCACGCTAGGGGTGGCACTGCTCTTCATTGTACGCAAGAAGAGGAAGGAGAAGAGGCTGAAGCGGCTCCGAGGTGGGGGCGTTTCCCCTGGGCTTTGCAGGAAAGGGTACTGACTCTCAGCCACTCAGGCCACTCGTCAGTGGCTCATGCACCATCCAGGCAAGAGAGTGCCAGAGTCCTTCTAAAGGAAGAACTGCCACTCAAATCTCCTGAAGCCTGCTTAGTTGTTTTCTTCTCTGTGCCTCCAAGTCTCTGTGCCTGCACCAAACAGGGCTGACATTGGCAAATTACACATCTCTAGGACCTGCTTGGTTCTGAATGGGCAGGTTCTATGCCACATCAACTGTTAAGTGCTTTGAATATCATTCTCTTTTCCAACATGTAATACTACAGTCTGCCATAAGTGGACCTAATTTTCCCAGCACCTAATGCAGTATCTGACACCTACTAGTTGCTTCAGAAATGTTTGTTCACTCATTTGGAAAACATTTACTGAGTCTGGTGCCAGACATTAAAGATATAAAGAAGAATGAAGAAGGGACAGGTCATGCCTTTAGAGTTCACAGTCTAATGTGAGAAGCCAGGGAAATAGTAGCACAGAGTAAAAATTATTAATTCTCCCTAAGGTGAGTGGTCAGATGACTAAATAGATAAGTCATTAGATGCTTGTACCGATGGATGGATGGATGGATGATGGATGATGGATAAAAGCCTGGAGTATAGATGGCTAGGTGGTTGGATGCATAGATAGATATTTTGATGGGTAATATGTATAGATGGAAAAAGAGTGTTGGAATAGTGGGATAATTGGATGAATTTTGGAGTAATGGGTGGTTAGATGATGATACAGGTGGTTGGATGGAAGACTTGACATATAAATAGAAGGATAGTTAGATGGGTGTTGAATGCATGGTTGGAGGGACAGGTAGACAGATAGTTGGATGGGTGATTAAATAGTTGGATGGCTGAATGATTTAATGGGTAGATGATGGATGAATGTTTGGTTTGGTGGGTAGACGAATGGGTGGATGGTTGGGTGTATGGCTGGATAGATGGAAGGTTAGGTGGTTGGATGGTTGGATGGTTGTATGCATGCATACAGTTATCAAGATTTACTCTGACAAATCATTAGCAGATATCAGGGTTCTAGTTGATTAAGTAAGCTCCTTAATTCTTCCAGTATCACAATCTGAGAATCCTAATCATATTCCAGGCCCCTCTGAGACTTCCAAATCTGTTCATGCACTTTTAAGAATCAGAATCCGTACACTACAAGAAGGGATGAAGCCTCTCGCTTGATATGAGAGTTTAGTCATCTAAACTCATTCCCCACTTTTTCCTCTCCCCAAAAAATAACTGAGCATAGATCCTTCAATGATGCGTATTTCCAGCCTGTTATGGTGTCCTGTTTAATTAAAGTCAGTTCACAAAGTGATGGAGTACTTATTCCACCCCCATCCTTTGAGACAGGCCTCTTTTATTAGATGAAAATCTGAGGAAAGAAAAGTGGACTTGAGCCCAACCCTGAACTGGGAAGAGTGAAACTTCACCATGATTTGGGCTGTTTTGAAGGTCCTTACACTTCTCCCTCTGCTTCTTAAGAGACCATTCCCATTTTAGAGAATTCTCCCACTTCTTTCCTGCATCTTCCAATTGTCATCCCACTCAAACTCCATTCTTATCCAGCCCTCTCTCTTTACTGTTTTGCAGATGCAAAGAGTTTGGCAGAAATGTTAATAAGGTGAGTATTACATAGCTGTTTCTTCTCTCATCCCTCACCCTTCTCCCCTGCACGGGAGCCAGGAGCCTCCCTCTGTGTACCTCTCCTGTTCTACTTCCAGAAAAGGAGTCTTGGAATAGGCTTCTAAGATCCCATTGTCCTGCAAGGCCCTCTCCCCTAATCCTTTATGGCTGCTGAATCACCCATCTCCTCTCCTTCCAATAGCAAGAACAACCGAAGCTTTGACACCCCTGTCAAAGGGCCCCCTCAGGGCCCCCGGCTACACATTGACATCCCCAGGGTCCAGCTGCTCATCGAGGACAAGGAAGGCATCAAGCAGATTGGTGAGTGACAAGTGTACACGCTCTCTGTCCCAGTCTAGGCGCACCTCCCCAGGCCACAGCCCACAGAGGGCATCCACCAGCTCACCCAGTGCCTCGGGTCTAGTAGTAGCCCCACCACAACTCAGCATCCCTGGCACCACTGCAGCTTCTCTCAGGGGCTCTTTCCTCTCCATCCAATGGGGAGAATCACTGGCCTTTTGGGTACTCAGCACTGGATAAAGGCAAAGAGAAATTTAGGGAGTAAAGAGACATTTGGTGAGAATGCCTCATAATTTCCCGTCTTCCTCTAGGAGACGACAAGGCCACCATCCCTGTGACGGATGCTGAGTTCAGCCAAGCTGTGAACCCACAGAGCTTCTGTACTGGTGTCTCTCTGCATCATCCCGCCCTCATCCAGAGCACGGGACCCCTCATTGATATGTCTGACATCCGGCCGGGAACCAGTATGCACTATCCCCAGGGAGACAGCCCTTTCCTCGCAAGAGGGGTGTGGGGCACACCACGGGGCAGAGGTGACAAAAGGAAAAGAAAAGGGTGAAGAGGGGGCAGAATAGAATGGAGCATAGGAACGGCACAAAGATTAAGAGTCTGATTACAGATTGGGCATATCACCAACTTTATCACTCTGTGCCTCAGTTTCCACGCCTAGAAATTTTGAGCAAGGTCTGCATATCCTTGGTCTTTGGGGGCCTTCTGTCTAGAACACTGTGACTCTAGACACAAGGACAGAATACATCGAAGGACCTTAGGGCAGTAGTGGTGAACCTACAGCACATGTGCCACAGCGGGACATTTGTTATCGTTGAAAGGAGTGGATGGAGGCAGGAGGAAAAGATGGGCTGGGTAGGGAGGACAAGGACCCTGTCCACAGCCTCGGGTCTGGCCTCTGTTGCCCTCTTCCTCTGGGGACCTGGGGTCAGGAGTGGCAGCATGTTCACATTTCCCGGGGTGCTTCTGCCCCACCCTCACTCCTCTCTACCTTTTACACTAAGTGCCAGCTGTCCAGGCCCAAGCGCCTTGTCTCTTGCTTCCCTCCATGCAGATCCAGTGTCCAGGAAGAATGTGAAGTCAGCCCATAGCACCCGGAACCGGTACTCAAGCCAATGGACCTTGACAAAGTGTCAGGCTTCCACACCTGCCCGCACCCTCACCTCCGACTGGCGCACCGTGGGCTCCCAGCATGGTGTCACCGTCACCGAGAGTGACAGCTACAGTGCCAGCCTGTCCCAAGACACAGGTGTGCCTAGGGCCCCACCTGCAGCCTGCCCACCCTCCTCCAGTTCCCTGGTATTCATCTCTTCCATTTTTCCCAACTGCTTCCTCCCAACTAGTAAAGTCCAAGTCGTTTTCATTTCCAGTGGTCCATAACACATGGTGTGGCTGAGACAAAAATAATTGCCCTCACTGAGCTCTACTTGGTCAAAGATGTTAAAAGCTCTACCCAAAAATTGTCAGAGAAAATGGTGCACAGGATATTTGTTGGAGAAAACACTGAGTATTCTAGGGAGTAACTGTTTATTGTCAAGAATGAAAAATGAGCCAGGAATGCATGCCTGTAATTCCAGCGCTTGGGAGGCTGAGGGAGAAGGATCACCACCAATTTGAAGCAAGCCGAGGCTAGTGAGCTCAAGGCCAGCCTGAACCACATAGCGAGACCCTATCTCAAAAAAAAAAAAAAAAAAAAAAAAAAGAAAAATGTTCTGCCCTTCATTAGCCAATGAGCCCACTTAGGCCACCACTGCCACCCTCACAGAAGAGCAGGATCTCTCCCCTTAACCCCTCACCTTCCCTTCCCCAGACAAAGGACGGAACAGTATGGTGTCCACCGAGAGTGCCTCTTCCACCTACGAGGAGCTGGCCCGGGCCTATGAGCATGCCAAGCTGGAGGAACAGCTGCAGCACGCCAAGTTTGAGATCACCGAGTGCTTTATCTCAGACAGTTCCTCTGACCAGATGACCACAGGCACCAACGAGAACGCCGACAGCATGACGTCCATGAGCACACCCTCAGAGCCTGGCATCTGCCGCTTTACCGCCTCCCCACCCAAGCCCCAAGATGCTGACCGGGGCAAAAACGTGGCTGTGCCCATCCCTCACCGGGCCAATAAGAGTGAGTGTCCAGACTACCTCTCTTTCTCTGTCCCCGGGAGCCTCAGCTAGATCTTGTCCTACCAGCACCTTGATCCCACCAGCCCAGCTTGGCTCCTTGTTGGTTCGGGGTTATACCACGAGCAAGGACTTGGGAGCACATCATCCTGGCTCAACTTCTTAATATCTCTCTGGCCTTGGGCAAGTCATTTCATTTCTCTGGCCTTAATTTTCTCTTAATTTATAAAATGCAAAGGATACTGTCTACTTCGCATTGTCACGTTAAGCCTTAGAAATTAGATTCCCAACTGTTGCTTGGAGATGTCTTGGTCATTTTTCTCCTTGCTAGGACAAAACACCTGACACCTACAACTTAAAGGAGGAGAGGTTTTTTTGACTCATGTTTCACTCCATAGTCGGCTGGCTCCAAGACAGGAGAGCATGACAGAGGGGCATGGTGAAGCAGAGCTGCTCACAGCGTGACAGACAGGAAGCAGAGAGAGAAGGGAGGAGCCAGGGAGAGAGATACACCCTTCCAGGACACGTGCCCAGTAACCAGATGCCACCTCTTAACCAATCAGCTATAAGCCCCATAATCCAATCGCCTTCTAAAAGCCCCACCTATCAGTACATGAGGCTTCTGGGGACATCTACATATTAACCTTAACAGAGGGTCTCATTAAGCAGTGGTCATTTCCTTAATCTTTCCACAAGATAAAGATCCCCTTATGGGGTCAGCTACCCAGTGGTCTCTGGTCAGTGCTGGTTGAATTTAACTCAAACACAAAGGAGCAAGCCTAGTAGCTCAGCACACAGTAGTCATAACTCATGGTGTGGTGTCTGGCCTGGGACCAGGACAGCCATCAGCACACACGGCATTGGAGTGTGCAGTGCACATTCTGGTCCGCCTGGCACTGGCCATACTGAGGCAGGGCAGGAGGGCTCTGGGTCATTTGGAGAAGAGCTAGAGTAAATCAGAATACAAGGACTCGGGTGACTCATGGCCTCCACCGTTTGGATATGCAAATTTGGGCAGATGATTTAGTCTCCCTGAACCTCACTTGTACAGTAGAGGCAGGCATGACCCAATCTGGGCAGTTGTGTGGATTAAATGAGATAAGGTAAGGTAAGGACAGGGCCAGACATGGCCAAGTAATAGAGGCACTTCTGCAGCCCAGGAGCTCACAGAGCAAAGGGAGTGGGTGTGGAGGCCTCAAAAGCATGGCATGTGGAGATAGCTCCAGAAAGGAGAAACATCCCACCAGGAGAAGAGGGATAGGGTGGGGACATGTAGCTGACTGGGCATCTGAAGACTGCCCTGGGAAAGGGGAGGTCATGCTGGTGAGCCCTTGGGAGCACAGTCAGGCCCGCTAGGGCAAGTGACAAGGAGTGATGGTCCTTTCCTCTGCAGGGTAAGGAAAAGGTGTTAGGGATTCCTTGTCTTTAGCAGTGGTGAACTCTCCACCACCAGAAGGTGAACACCAATATCAATTTATTGAGCCACTACTACATGTGCAGGCCACGGTTTCAAAGCACTGTACATACTTCATCTCCTTTAAAAATAATGTAGAGAAACAAGACCATCCCCATTTCACAGAGAAGGAAAGTAAGGCTCAGAGAGGTCAGGTACCTGGTTGGGGGTGGGTGTGAATGAGCAGATTCCCTAGGCCTCTGTCCCTAACACCCTCTGCCTCTGCAATTCCAGGTGACTACTGCAATCTTCCCTTGTACCCCAAGTCAGAGGCCTTCTTCCGGAAAGCAGATGGGCGTGAGCCCTGCCCTGTGGTCCCACCCCGAGAGGCCTCCATCCGGAACCTGGCTCGAACCTACCACCCCCAGGCTCGACACCTGACCCTGGACCCTGCCAGCAAGCCCTTGGGCCTCCCACACCCAGGGCCCACCACTGCCACCGCCACAGCCACCTTACCTCAGAGGACTCTGGCCATGCCAGCTCCCCCAGCTGGCACAGCCCCCCCAGCACCCGGCCCTACCCCTGCTGAGCCCCCTGCTCCCCCCAGCACTGCCCCTCCAGCCCCCAGCACTGAGCCTCCTAGGGCGGGGGGCCCACACACCAAAATGGGGGGCTCCAGGGACTCACTCCTTGAGATGAGCACATCAGGGGTAGGGCGGTCTCAGAAGCAGGGGCCCGGGGCCTACTCCAAATCCTACACCCTGGTGTAGGGCACCTTGAGAAGAGCAGCCCCATGCTTGGACTTCTGCACCGTCAGGCCTCACACACCAGCTCGGCCGTTTCCTGCATTATTTATATTAAACCGACAGACAAAAACCAACCAACAACAACAACAATGACAACAAAAACCCCAAGTCATGAACACTTGTACATAGAACTCTTTTGTACAAATGAAACTATTTTCTTCTTCTCCATGAAGCCAGGGCACAAAGAACTTGACCATACAAGTCGAATCCCCCACCCCACAAAATACGTGTGCAGAGATATATACATATATAGAGAGAACACACCGAAAATCTATATATCAATATATTTCTCACACTTTCTTTCAAGACAGAGGCACAAAGACAGCAATTGTTCCCCTCCTACTCACCCCCAAATCTAGGTGGTTTTGACAAAGACCAAAATCCCAACTCAGAGACACTGCATGCGATTTTACTGTTCCAAGAAAACCAGGAGTTGCTTCAATTTGCAGATGCTTATGTGTTAATACCTTTTTCTATGAAAAAAGACCCAGCGCCGTGTGCAATAAAGGTTATGTTTCTACGTGGTGGCTTTTTTCCCATCTGGCAAGTGTCAGTGGGGAGGGCAGAGAGACTTTTGTACCAGGCCTGGGCTTTGGCTCAGCACTTGAAGCTTTGTAAAAGGCTTTCAGTTAGCTAAGGTTCATCCACTGAGCACCCTAAGGGGGACCAGCTCTGCAGCATTCAGCCAGCATAAACCCCTCTGAGCCAGTTGCTTTATCTGTAAATCGAAAGAAGCTGTAGCTCATGAAGTGAGGCCACCTTGGTCAGAGCACTGAGGACCCCTAGGGGAGGGGAGTCTCCTGGGCTCTCTCATCCAGGACAGCACAGAGCAGCCAGGAGACATGTCTATGTAAAAACACTAGTGAACAGTTCTGTGCCTACAAATTAGGGATGGGAGGGAGAGATTTTATGTCCTGTGGGGATCAGGCCAGGGGCAAGGCTCTGGGCTGTTAGGGCAAGGCAAGGCCAGAGGAAGAAGGAAAGAGGAGGTCAGAGGAGTGGAAAGGGTTCACCCAAAAGAATCCAGCAGGAAGGTGGACCAGGTATCTTGCCAGTTTGGAGGAGTCCACAACCAGAGTGCCAGGTGGAAAGAAAGGCATCCACATGAAGAAGCAGGCAGGGCTGAAGGTGTGTGGCAGGTGATAGGGCAGAGGGCATCACAGGATGGCCTGGGAGTTGGGCCTCCATGGACACAAAGGTTTGGAAAGACAGAGGAGGGGTAATGACCTTCAACATGAGACTAGCAAAGACCCACAGGCCTGGTTTAGGGGTCCCCCCACCACCTCAGCCAAGCCTTTGGTACAAAGGGGGTTCCTCAATTGAGCACCCCAAATTGAGCCTGAGTTATGGATCAGGAATCTATAAGGATGGTGAGTGTGGGACCTGTTCTCCCCTCCAGGTAACAAAAGAACAAGGAAGGAGACACCAGACAGGAACAGGAGGGAGGAATCTGTGCAGTATGCAGGCAGGTGACGCTTGCCAGCATGGTCCACAGTAATGCACAAACTTTAATAGAAGCACCTTCTAAACAACAGTCTAATCCACAAACATTGTTTGAGCACCTAGCATATGCAGGATTCTGCCCATGAATAAATGCATTACCAGGTAAGAGAGGTGGGCACTGTGAGGGCAGAGGGACAGAGATTTTGAACTCCATGCTGACTCCTAGGCTCATTAGAAAATACCCACCTCAGCTTCTACACCCAGAATCCACCTGGAGGACCAGCACTGCATTCTGAGAACCAAGGCCCCGTGTTCCAGGTGCGAGCCCTGCTTCCACCCCTTCTGTGAGTGGACAGGGTGCCTCCCAGTGCTGCAAGTGCCGTCTGTAGGTCACCTCTGAAACCGCAAGCACAATGATCAAATTTGGGAATTCTACTTAGAATTTGAGTGATCCCTCAGCCACACCCCTGCATGGTGGACACTGGGGAAACAAGTAGGAATCAGAGTCAACTGCAGTTATCACAAGGGAGTGAATAATTCCTTAGAAGCCAGATGAGGAAGAAGACAGAGCCACCCACCTAAAGGTTGCAAAGGAAGCACCATCACGAAAATACACTGTGGAGCCCTATCCGCTGCATCAAATGCTGAGCAGAGCCCATTCCTTATGTTGCCTCTTCTAACTTCAGTATAGATTTGGGAAAAGTGCTTCATGATTTCCTGATTTCCTGATTTCCTGGGGCTTTCAGGAGTCACTAACTTATCCAAAGTTAGAGGAGCAAGGAGAGATAGAGATGAAACCTAAACTCATGAATGACTCATTCCTTGACTACCATATTACTCAGGTGTACCAGGTAAGAAACAAAAGGGATACAAATAGAAAAAGAGAAAGTCAAAGTATCTCCATCTTATATGATTCTATACCTAGAAAACCCTAAAGAGTCCACCAAAATTCTCTCAATTGATAAACTAATTCAGCAAAATATCAGGATAAAAAAAAACAAGATGCAAAAATCGGCAGCTTTCCTATACATTAGTAGTGAACTTTCTCAGAAAAAAAATCAGGAAAACAATCCCATTCACAATAGTCTCAGAAAATAAAATACCTAGAAATAAATCTAACCAAGCAAGTGAATGAACTCTACAATTAAAATTATGAAACGCTAAAAAAGAAATTGGAGAAGTCCCTAGATGATGGGATGACATCCCTTGATCATGGATTGAGAGAATTAATACTTTTTAAATGCCACACTACTGAAAGTGATCTGCAAATTCAATGCAACTTCCATCAAAATACCAATGACATTCTTTGCAGAAGTAGAAAAAACAATCCTAAAAGTCATATGGAAGCACAAAAGATCCCAAATAACAAAGCGATCCTAAGCAAAAAGAACAATGCTGGAGACATCACAACATCTGATTTCAAAATATACTATAGAACTATTGTAACAAAAATGGCATGGTGTTGACATAAAAATACACAGAGACCAACAGAATAGAACAGAGGCCGCAGGGATGAATCCATGCATCACAGCTCTCTGAAAAAAGTGCTAAAAACACACAATGGAGAAAAGACAGTCTCCTCAACAAAAGGTCCTGGGAAACCAAGACAGCCATCTGTAGAAGATTGAAATTAGATCACTATCTCGCCTGTTTAAAAATCAACTCAAAAGGAATTAAAAAACTTAATGTAGAGCAGAAAGTTTGAAACTACTAGAGAAAAATACAGAAGAAACACTTCAAAATATTGGTACGGGCAACACTTTTCTGATCAGGACTCCACCAGCTCAGAAAACAATAGCAAGAGTTGACAAGTAGGATTACATCAAATTTAAAAGCTTCTGTATGTCACAGGAAACAATGAACAGAATAAAGACAGTCTATAAAATGAGAGAAAAATCTTTGCTTGCTATTCATTTGACAGAGTATTAATATTCATACATAAAGAATTCAAAAATTTAATGCCAAAAGAATAAGTAAGCCAATCAACAAATGTGCAAATACACCAAACAGATACTTCTCAAAAGATGTACAAATGACCAATCATTATATGAAAAAATGCCCAACATCTTCAGTCACTGGGGAAATGAAAATCAAAACTACATTGAGACTCTACCTCACTCTAGTCAGAATGACTATTACCAAGGAAACAAAAAATAAATTCTGGCAAGGTTATTCTTAAAAACTGTTAGTGGGAATGTAAATTTGTACAGCCATTATGGAAATCAGTATGGAGATTCCTCAAGAAATTAAAAATAGAGCTACCATAAGATTCAGTCATACCATTCTTGGGTATACACCCAAACAAATCAAAGTCAACATGCTTTAGAGGTCCCTACACACCCATGTTTTGGAAGCACAATTCACAATGGCCAAGTTATAAAATCAGCATACATCCCATCAGTGCATGAATAGATAAAGAAAATGTGGTATGTATACAAAATGGAGTATTATTCAGTTACAGAGAAGAATGAAATTATGTTGTTTACAGAAAAAATGGATGGAACTAGAGAACATCATCATGTTAAGCAAAATAAGCCAGTCACAGAAAGACAAGTATCATAAATTTTCTCTCACATTTGGAATGAAAAAAAAAAAAAGACATGAAAATGGAAGAGGGGCCAGGAGTTGTGGTGCATACCTGTAATCCCAGCATGTGGGAGGCAGGAGAATCGCTGCAAGTTCCAAGGCCAGCCTAGGCTACCTAGTGAGTTCAAGGCTACATGAGATACATGGTGAGACCCTGTCTTTAAAAAACAAAACAAAAAAAAAATGGAAGAGGGAATTATTTGGGAAGAGGAAGGGGGCCACAGAAATACGGAGAAGAATAAGAGAGGGTAACAGGAAGGGTAGATGCAATCAAAGTATATTATACACATGAATGAAAATGTCACAAGGAAACCATTATACTGTTTGCTTAATATGCATTAATCATATATATATTTTTTAACACAAGGTCTGGAAATTCATTCTTGTGAAAAATCCAGTTGTTTTATTTGCTAATGACCCTTGAACCTTGAAACCTTGATATGTCCTTTAAGTAATCCAGAAGCTCACCTTTCTGAACCATGCCCTGAAGCCACTCATTAAAGCCTCTGGTGGGGGTCTAAAAATAACTGTTTCACTGATTGGTGTACTCCAGGCCAACCAGGGTTGTAGTCTCCATTTTGAGTGAGATAAAGGTCAGGGGCTAAGAGGCACATAGTGAATACATGTAATAATTTCATAAGAGCTAGCTAGTTTCCTCAAGCACATTGTGTAACATCAGCACGCAGTAAGTTCACAACTGTCAGCCACCTCAGTTGTGCCCTAATGCCCCGCCTACACCCCTCTAATTGTCCCTACATCATCATTAATGTCCAGCTTGTCACCACCGAACTCTTCATCTGGAGCAATCACCTTAAACATCTGCTTGCCCTTTTCCAAATCTCTAGTTTGTTTATCCACCACAGATAATGCCACTTTGAGAGCCTTGATCCTCAAAGTGTGGTCCACAGGCCACAGCACCGGCATCACAAGAAGCTTGTAAGAAATGTAAAATCCCAGACCTCACCCCAGCCTCGCCTCACTGAATCAGAAGATGCATTTTAGCAACATCCCCGGCGGACCCACATGCACATTAAAACTTTGTCCCCTCTGTCTGCCAACTACCAGAGCTAGATGGTGACTGGGTTCTGAAGCTTAGCTATATAGTCACATCCATCTGAGGGGCTTATTTTAAAATACAGAAGCCCAGGGGCTGGGGATTTAGCTCAGCGGTTCAGTGGCCTGCCTTGCAAGTGCAAGGACCTGAGTTCGATCCCTGGTACAAAAAAAAAAAAAAAAATACAGAAGCCCAGATCTCACCAATCCTAACTGAATCAGAATTTCTCGGCATGAGTTTGTATTTTTATTGTGGTAAAAGACACCTACCATTAATATTTTTTCAGTACCGGGGATTGAATCTAGGGCCTTTGCACTAAGCTAATCACCAGCCCTTTTCTCACTTTTTATTCTGAGTCAGAGTTTTAGTGAATCACTGAATTTCTCAGGTTGGGCTTGGACTTTCGATCCTCCAGCTTCAGTCTCCCAGAATACTGGATAATAGGCATGCATCACCACACCCAGCTCAGTTTAACTATTTTTAGATGTAAAAGTCAGCAGCATTAAGTACTCTCATCTTATTGTGTAACCACACCACTATCCATTTCCAGAAGCTTTTCATCATCCCAAACAGAATTTGTACCCTCATAACTCAGTACCCTCCCATAACTGTGCCATGAACACCCGCCACCTCCTCCCCTCCAGCCTCTGTAAATCCCTGTCTTACTCTGTCTCCATG